TAGTTTTCCCAAATGTCATTAGTCAACATTTGCAACTAATGTCATTAGTCAACATTCTGAAAACTGCATAAATATTCAGGAGTGTTTATCACACAAAACAATACCAAGTATAAGCAATCCTGCTTCAAAGAACTCAGACTCTCCAACTATTTTTGGACAAGGACTATATTTTTCCTAGGCATTCCTGGACTTTGGAATAGACTTTGACTGGGATGTGCCAGTGCTCCTGCTGGGACTTAAACCCAGAGTTACCTGGCTAGAGGGTCTTGCTCCTCTGTTCAGGAACAAACCAATCACCATATTTGGGGTCAGGAAGGAATTTTACCCCATGATCAGATTGGTATGGACTGTGGAGATATTGCCTTCTTCTCAAACGGCGGTGTGGTGTTCTTCCTGGGAACTCTCTAGAATTTTTTAACAACCATAGCAGCAGCAGGATGTTGGCCACTGTGATTCCCCTGCTTTACCTGTGCCAACTTAGGGTGTAATATCTTGGGTTTCACGTAAGGGTTGACTGTGTACTTTTGATAAGAGGTTAAAAATAATGGATTTGTATGGGATGGTTTGATAGGGAAAATCCTGCCTCAGGCATGCAGTTCGACCAGATGACCTCTCAAGGTCCTTTCCAGCCCTACTTCTCTATAAATATATGATTCTTGGTCCCAGGTACTGATGCAGATCAGACGTCAAGTGTTATTTATAGGCTTAGTTTGGACCTTTAAAATTCAACCTGCTGGTCCTGGCACAGGATCCTATAATCCCTATGCTCAGTCTGCCAGAATTCTTGTCCCAAGATCACATAATGACCATGTACAGACATTCAGTTTCTACCAGGAAAATCATTGTTCTCCTGGTAGAAACCAAAAGTGTACACATGTTCATGCCCTTTCTCCTGGACAAAAAATGGCACTTCTGGGAAAAATATGAGCCACCTCTAACCAAGGAGAAGTTGGTCCTGGGAAAGTTTCTTCTGGGAGAAGGACCATTTGTATTACTTCTCCTGGTTTAATTCCTCCTAGAAACCAGAAGAAATGGAGCTGGGGGAAAGGCCCCCATCTTCCTGACACCAAGGTCACACCAGTCTGAAGAAGGCATGGGGGAGCAGCTGCTCCTGCCCCTACCACAGACCAGGAGAGGAGAGAAGTTGTCAGCTACTCCCTGCTGGCTTCTCACACTTTAGGGGAATTGCAGGACTGCTTCCTCTCTTCCTCTCCTCAGCACCTGGGCACCAAGAGTCCAGTAGAGGTAGCAGTGCTGCAAGCTCCCTACCCACTTCTCACACTGATGTCCCCAGAGTGAGAAGCCACCTAGGGATTTTGCCACACTACTCCCTTGCCCTCCCAGATTGATCCAGGAAATTAGGGGAATAGCTGCCACCACCTCCACCTCTTCCCCAAACCAAGCAGTCTTTATTTTCGGGAAGAAGTACAGGGCTTTGCCAAAACCATTGCCTTCCCTTTGACAACTGCACTGCCCAACTGAATGATGGAGGCAGCGATTTAAAAGGTGGCAGGGCCAGAAAGTGTTCATGACCTGCATCTTTCAATCCATGGTGCCCAAATATGAAAGCAAGGATGTCAGCTGTCCCAGTAAAGTCCAGAAAATGTCCTACCCTGTGAAATGCAAGAAACAGGCTCTTCATTAGATAAAACTAAAAGGACCACCCGTCTTGCATTTTCTTTAATCTGGACTATCTGTTCCTTTAAAGAAACTGGTCTCCCAGAATTCAATGCAAGGACCTAAGCATGAGATTTCATACTTTTTCATCCAGTACAAGAATCTACTTTCATCTTTTTATCTCACACTAGTAAGGTTTTTTTGAGGTCTGAGGTATTTTTAAAATTTTAATTAACTCATTTCACAAGGTTTTGTTCCTGTTCAGAAACTACTGCCATTCTGGAACGGGCCGATCCAGGCATGTGAGGACAGCACAGGGCCCCATCCCATCCAGCCCACAGACTGACCCCACTCCATTCATAAGGCCCATGGGGCCAAAACATGAATAGTGCTGTGCTAGAGCATATAACAACAGGATTTAAAACAGACCCCAATCTGTGTGCCTCCTTTGCTGAGATATAGAAAGGATCATCCCTTTTCAAAGTATTACTCCCTGGCTTTAAGTCTCCTCAAAGTCTGATGCACAGTTTGAGATAGCAATCCTGCAATCTAATTAAATAAAACTCCTAACTCCCACCTTTCTTAGTTCTTTTAATCACTTGGAACAGAGATCTATCCAGGGAAGAACAGTGCCTTGCCAAATTAAACTCATGTTTTTTAGAATGGTTGCCTTCTTGAATGGATTGATACTACTGATTTAGTAACATGGCTGGTTATTTTATCTTTGGGGGCTCATGTGGAGGGAGAGAAGATAAATCAGGTGGACATGCAACCTCAGCGAAGACTGCTGTTCAAAAAAGTCCAGATTACACATCAAGAGTGCACATCACAAATAGGATATTCATACAACCAGTTCCATCAAAGACTCATAATTATGATTATAAGAAACCATTCTTTATTAGCCAAAGAACAAAGAATAACTACTAAATATATGTATTCAGGATACATGTCCAGTCAATAATGCTGGCTGAGTGTGTGGCAGAACTCCAGGTGGTCACCTGATGGAGCTCAGTGCACTCTAATAAAATAAAGTTGCTGACCTTCAAGAATGGGCATCTGAGCTAAATCAGAGCAAATGGAAATGCATTCAGTGATGCACTCTGACAAGTGTTATTTGAAAATGAGCTGCCCTCAGCTTTAACCCCATAAGCTGAGAAGAGATAAAGGGATTTTTGCCTTGTCAGTATATAGCAGCAAAAAGCTCATTTGACCCATTTCTTATGATAAGCAGCCTCACTTTGGGAAGATTAGCTTGAAGAATGAAAACTAGTAAAGAAATAAATGAGTTCAGGTAAGAATACCCTCAGCATCAGATCCAAGAACACTTAAGGAACTCTCTAAAGTATTGGGCCAGTATGAGAAAGAGTAAGGGAATCAAAGATATGGCTCATGGGCAGGATCTGGCCCATGGAACCATTCCATCCAGCTCATCAAGCTACCACTGGGCGAGAGTCTAAGGGTGCAACCAGCAGCAAGCAGTGGCCTGCCACAGAATCTGGGGCCCAGGTGCACATGGCCACCAGCAGCAGGGTGGAGCAAACAAGGGCCATGCCCATATAGCCTCTGCATACTATGCTGTCGTTTGCACTGCTTCCACCATGGCAAGCAGCCACCTGGCTCATGGCCATTTACCCCACTGCTACCACAACAGCCACTGCTGCTACCTCACCATTGCCCCAGGCTAGATCCATCCCACAAGAAGCCCCACATTCCAGATCTGGCCCAGTACAGAAAGTGAGTTTAACGCCCCTGAGATAGAGTATTTAAGACTCTCCATTTAAAGTATGTGAAACTTAAGTGGCTATCTTAGCTTTCTGAATTCTATTCCCAGAGGTGAGTTTCAAAGATTCAGGGGACAGAAGCACTTTGTGAATCTCATCCTGAGTCCTTTATTGGATCTAGCCCCTGGTCCTACCCAACTTCAAGAGTTCCAAGATGAACTGCAAGCAAATCTAGGTGAGTTTTAGTGAATTAAATCTTCAAACCAGACTTGACTGTGATATTAAATCCACAAAATGAATAAGAAGTAATAGATATCATCCTATCAGAAGGCACATTAAGCCATGTGCTCCATCAATTAACCAGTGCAAAATAATGTTTTAGAATTGTGTGTGAAATATAAAAACAAAAATGAAATTATAAGCACAGGAGAGGGAAAAAGCAAATGGCTGAATGTGCTGATTGTAACATTTTCTCAAAATAAGCTAAACAGCCTGAACTAACCATACTGTTCTACAATAACACAAAAAATGATGGATGCTTTTCTTTTCTTGGCAAAATGACAATTTTTAAAAGTTCACAGAAAAATAGCTACAGTAAAGGTCTCTAGACAATCCATAAGTATTGTCTAATACTTCAAACTATATTTTCAATATACCAATCAGTTCAAAGCAGTCAACCACATACATCCCAGAGAGATACTTCATAGAAACTGCATAACTCAGCACTTCCAGAAAAACAAGAAAACCAAATCAAAAATGGGTGGGTACTCAGTACCTTCTTTTTTAACTGACGTCTGCTATAGCTTGAAAAAGGCTCATAGAAATCCCAAGGGAAAAATTAATTTAATAATTACATCAACAATATTATACGTTACATTTTTAAAAAAAAATAAAAGCTCCTGAATTGTTCCAGCAATATAATCCTGGAACAGAAATGCACAGAAATGGAAAATCCATCTTAGCTATGAATGGCATTAAGATAACTGTATTTAAAATTAATCATAGAATATAAAAGCAAAACAAAATGTTTGACTATTGCATTAAGGCTGTGATTTAAAATAGAGAAATAGACTGAAAAAATGTAGATATATCTTCAGCACAGCAACATGAATTATGAATGGGTTTTTTTTTAAATCATCTCATCTGCTAACTCTTTGGCCAATATTTGTTTCAGAAATTTATGACGACGTGCACACACATGAAAATGGCAGATGTTCTGATGGTCAAGCTGCATCAAGCTACTTATGGAAAAATATACCACAGCATCACAGAGAGGGTATACACCATGCCTTTTCTATTTAAGCACTGATAGTGGCAAAAGACCTTAAAAGGATCAGGCCTTCAAGTGCCCACAAGGGTTAAAAAAAATCACTAAAATGGACAGAAACTTGAATACTATTGGAATAACAGTCAAACTGAGAAATATAAGGCAATGCACCAAATCCAAAAAAATCAAAACACTGTCAGTTGTAAGGAAAGCAACTATGAGATCAGTGATGCTGAGCGCTCTAACCTTAACCCAACAAAGCCCATAGGCTCAAGGTTACTCATGTGATTAAAATTAAGCATATATTTATGGTCATTGCTAGGTAGTGGTCAGAGTGCTTAGAATCCTGCAATATCAAGCCCTTCCAGATAAAAATGGATTTAGAGAGAGCTTACCGCCGAACCTCTGGAGGAACTCTAGGAGAACACCAATATGGCAGATGTTTAAACTTTTCTTTGCCTCCTGCAACATAATAATGATTATCTTCTAGCTTATCTGAGCCATGCACAGCATGACCATCCAGGGTGTATAACCTGTAAGTAAAAGAAATAAATATACATATTGTGAGGTTGCAATTAACAGAGTTTAATACAGGGGCAGGCAATTATTTCGGGCATATATAGAGCCGCTTACCGAGTTTTGGCAAGCCGTTGAGGACCACAAGGGTAACCCCACTACTTGACAAGCGCCCCACCCCTGGTCATCTTGGGACAGGAAGTCCCACTCATAGTCCCTGACCTTTGCAACTGGAAGTTCCTCCCTTTGCCCACCCCCCCCACCCCCCGAAGTACTCCTTTACGTAAGGGTTTGCCATCTTGGAATCAGAAAAATACCAAATGATATTCTAAAAGTTACACATTTACTACAACATTCATTAATTTGATCTCAAAAAATATTTTTGCCCTGATTTACATACACTCGTGTAGTGTACATAGAGGTGATAGTATAATAGCTTAAAATGAAGTCTTACTATAGTATATTGTGGAGGGGTGTGGGTATCTAGGGTGTGGGAGAGGGTGTGGGTGTGTGCGTGGATATGTGGTGTGGGTCCGTATGGGGTTTGTGAGCATGTGTGTAGGGGAATGGTGGCTGGGGAGGGTTGTGGCATGTGTGGAGAGGGAGGATTTGCCCACAGTCCCCTGCAGTAGGCA